GCATATTACGTATTGCTCTTTCATTAAGAAGGGAATTTTAATGAAATTTCATATTAATACCCTTGAAAACACAATAATCAAATAGTTTTCATGAATTTTGCAAGCTCAAACATATCTTAAGTCCATCTTATAAATGGTAAATGCACATTAGTCAGATGTCGATTAGCTACAAAATATTCATTACGGCCAAATGCAATAACAATTAAGCAAAACTTTTACTTTGCAGGCAGCCGCCGCAGTTGACTTTCGGACTTCACACCAAATAGGGGGAAACAGCAAACAGAAAGAGAGATAAGGAGAGAGAGGGCGAGAGAAGGAGGGTCGGTGGAGCAACACTCCATATAGAGGAGCCGTCTGACTTGAAGTTAGCTTTGGAGCCGTTGAAGTTTTGGGGCGTGAAAATTGACAACGTAAATTGCAAAAGCCAACGTTCGAGACAGCGGGCGTTGGCAGGTGCGAAAGGGAGAGCCATGGAGCATGGAGCATGGAGCTCGGACTGAAGTGCGGACTGCAACTTCACACTTTCAAAGTAATTTTAACACATTTCAATTAAAAAGGCCGAACATGTAAAATTTAATTAAAAAGAAACCTTAAAGGATACCGAAGGCATGGGCAGGCAACGGTACCTGCTTCCCTTGCAGCATTAATTGCGAAGGTCCAAGTCGCAGAGTCCAGACTCCAAGCTAGAGAGAGTGCGAGAGGGGTAAGGGAGACAGGTGGGGCTGCACTGCGCCTTGTCTGTAATGGAAAAGCTATTAACGGCTTGTCATAACAAGCTACTCGTTGTGTATCGCTGCCTATACCGGGTTGGCCACTTTGCTGTTATTGTTTTCGATTTACGGCACATAAATCATTAGCTTAATTGATAACCCAACGCTATTTACGATGACACAAATTAGAATTTGTGCGAACAGTTTATGGAGCCCGTTCGACCGCTGACATACAGTGCGCCGCGCCCAGAGAGAGACTTGAGGCTGGATGTGCTAATGGAACAGCATCAGAAGGCCTACAACGTTTACAGAAATTTTCCATCATCGCGGTAACGTTTTTGGAAGCTTTCCGAAAGATCTCGCACAATTTTCATAGCCGTGTGTTTATCACGTTTTCCAATTCTACAATGGAAGATTTTCAATTCAGCGAGAACCCAACCACGCACTAACTCAATGAAATAAAATTTATATATTTATAAAAATATATATGTATTGTATGTCTATATCATCATTAAAGTACAAAAAGCGACAAATCATAAAAAGAAAAAAATAAACTGAATTTATAATCAGCGTTCACAAATTGCCTTTATCAAACACTCAACCAGCCAAGCCAACCACAATGCACATTTTTAGTGGAGCTCGGCCGACTTTGCGGATCACGCGCAGATCGTGTGGCAAACGGCAGCACGTGAAGCCAGCACAGACGAAGGTCGCGTGACAATAACATAATTCGTATGAGCACAGCCACACGCACACGCACACACACACACACTCGCACACACGCACACATTGCCACATACTATCATCAGTTGAGGTTGAGCTAGTGATAAGCGAGCGAGCGACTAGCGCAATATCACAATTTGCTTTTTATAGCCACCAATCAGGCAGCGCGTTCGCTTTGGGACTTGCGATCGGGCGTACGCCCTGATAACAAGGTCCAATTCTACTCTAATCAAGCAGCAGTACAGCCAAGCAATGGTGAAGGCTGCTTTCAATAATAATACTATTGTTGAAGAAAATCATGGAAAAGTTGGACATATGCGAAACGTTATTATAGGGAATTGCAAAGCAACTTGTGCTGAGGCTGTGAAAGATAATATAAGGCTGAGAGAATAAACGAAAAGTCTTAAAAATGATAATTCAAGAATATATCAAACGTTTCCCATGATGAAAAATATATATGTTGAAATTAAGGACTCAGAGAATATTATACAGAACATTGAAAGCAGAGGAAAGGATAAGTCTTATGAAGAAAAAACCATCGCCAATTAACAAGGAACTTAACTTAAATATGCCAAGATCTTCGAATGAACCAAGAAGTTATTGTTGTTGTTGAGCTTAGCTTGAGGATAAATATGAATATTATAGCAAATACAGTTGAACTATAATATTAGCACTATATTACTAATATAAATATGAATATTATAGCACATATCGGGCTGTTTTCTATAAAATTAGTATGAAGACAAATACAAATATAAATATTATGGCAAATGCTGCTCGTATCTCCATAATAATAATATTTATCCTTCTGTTAAGACAAAGCTTTCAGTTTGCAAGCTAAATAATGACTATTAATAAATGAGATTTAAATATAGTTTAATGCCATCTAGCTAATCTAGAACCAACATTGCCTGAGGATAATCGCAACTAACCGAGCTTTGTTGAAATTTCGCTTTCAGCAATTTCGCTTACATATTTCCGAGCTCTATTTGACACATGGAGAGTAACTAGGTTTCGTTGTCGCACAGATAGGTCTATCTCACAGAGTCTCTAGCACATCAAGTGCGCCTGCACGTATATTCAGAACTATATACATATGAACAGTGCCTGCAAACGAACCAACAAACAAACAAATAAAATTTTTGACGCTATGGAAATTTACCCAAACGAAACGCTGACAGAAATCGCGTCGCCAGAGCAATCAAATCAAGCAAACAAGTGCGATACACTGTGTATATATATATATTTATTTATATATATATATATAGTTCGCATAGTCGCATCTAGTCACATGGACCGATTGCCCCCCATCCGAGAAAATAGTTGTAGTTGTAGATGCAACAGTTCGTGCTGTAAACAGTGTCACGATTCTCATTCCTCATTAGCTGCCGATCAACAGATCTCACAGATCTCTTAACTAAGGTCTGGAACCTGAACTAGGATTGAGTTGAATAGAACCAGAACCAGTTTATCTATTATATAGTCTGGTTGTATTTGTTTTTATAATGCCATTGACGTCAAACCAAAATGGTTCATCCAAAAGAATTGAAACGGAATTCGCGAAAACAAAGCAACAACAACAAAAAAGTCTCGGGATTTTAAGTCGCCTGTCTGGCAGCCCGTTTAGCCAGGTGATCAACGGCCGGACTGGAAGAGTACTTCTATAAACTATCTAGCATTTTACTACCTTAATACCCTTATAAATATTTATGATATTACACAAATTGATTACTATTCTATATACTTGCTAGTGCGCTAGAAATGAGAGCATATCGGTTTTGCAGACTGTTTGATCGTCTCTATTGAAGCTAGACTCTTGATATGGAATATATATGTAATCGTGTGTGAACTCTTCGGATAATATAACCCAATTTTCTTCGATAAGCCCACTAAAGGCGTGGCAGATCAGTAAAGATAGAGTCTATCGTAGTTTTCAGAGCGAGGATCGACTACCTTTCATCTAGGTAGTATATGAAACTTTAGGTATAATATTTGTAATCAATCATGCTCTCTTTTGAGCCCTGAGCAAGTATCATGTAGTTGATAAGATCGCTCTTACATCGCTTTTACTAGTTTCATTTACATATTTATGATAAATACCATACAATATTTTAAGTCGCTAAACGTAAAGCGAAGGGCGTCGATTTGTCGCTTCAAAGTGAGGAATAAATTCAATTCAAATACATATGAAAAGCATATACATTTATAAATCTACATGGTATATGTATGTATGTATGTGTTGTGATTTTAAAACAAAATGAAAAACTTGATGAGTGTTTATGAATATTCATTGGCGCCTCAAAATACTTGTTGTATTCGCTTAGCAGTTCTTGTTGTTGTTGTTGTTGGGTTTACCTGCGTCATTCAGTTTGGTGTTACTGGCCTACATTTTCGATCATTATGATGATTGTTGTTAAAGAATTCAAGGAATGTACGCGACAATTTTATTGATCAAATTAGATTTAGAATTAGAAACAATTAGATAAGTATATATATGTCAGAATCAGTATTGAATGAATAGAGAGAGGATATATTAGATATGTGAATTGAGATAAATAATAGAAACTACAAATATATATTACAATTGCTGGCGAACTTGATCTTTAGATGGAATAAATAAATTGAAGTAAGATGAAAAGTTTTCCCTTTGTTTTTTGACTTGAATTTGCTCGTAGGCCTAGGAATAGGCCTAATCAACGCAGTCCGAGCCCAAGCAATGGAGAACCTTCTAGAAACCGTATTTTTTGTCCGATTCCAATTCATTTGCGATTACAAACCAAATCCCAGCAAAACAGCAACGCTGAAGGCCGGAAGTTTTTGGTAAACTAAAAACAGAATTTGTTTTGAATTTTCAGTCTAAATTTACCTATATCAAATACTCGGTAGATATAATCGAAGCGAACCAGAGTTAATGGAATTAGAGAATCAGATTTTGGGTCAGGAAGTTGATAAGAACTGTAAACTGAATTTGTTTTGCTTCTGCTGCGGAAAGTTGACTATATAAACAGCAAAACAAAAATCTAATTGATTAAATAGTTTTCTATATATACATATATAGTTTCCAAATGAGATCAATAACTGTAAATAGATAAGAAACTCAGGCATAAAAAAAGCGAAGCACGTAAAGTCTTCGCGATCGCTCTATATGTTATATATGCATCTCCATACATATGTATGTAGAGCCCATTCAATTCACTTGAAGTTAACCAACTAATGCTAAATATTCGCAAGTATTCAATGCCCGAAAACTCCATAAAATTGCTTTTCGCAGCGAAATAAATAACCCGCACTGAAATTTGTCTGGCGCATATTAAAATCGAGACGAGAACCAGTTGGGCCGTACAAATGTGGACAACAACAACAATTTTGTGCTTTATGGGGTATGTCGCGTGCATTTTTAAAAATATATAATATAATATATATTTTAGGAGAGCGAGCGTATTTGTGTGTAAATATTTGTCAGAGGTTCGGTAGAGAGAAGGAACAGGGAACAAAATGTATATATATATGTATGTATATATATGTATATGTGTATGTATGTATTTGAAACTCGTTTCGTGCCGTTGCGTTTATTAATCTTAATGAATGTTAAACACTTTTATCAGAGAGGAATAGCAACAGGCGTCGGTGGTGCTGGCGGTTGTGCTGGCGGTGGTGTTGTCGGCACAGCACGCGTCATTTAAAATATGCCCGTGTAAAAGAAGCGCACAGCATTTACGTCAATAGCAGCATATCGTAGTGCGCAGAGAAGAAGGCGTTGCCCAGGCCGCCAGGTGAGGTACAGATACTTTATTAATTTGATATAAATACATACATACACACACACATACATACAGATGCACGTTTCAGCTGCTGCCTGTCGTCTGCCATGTCTTTATCACACACACACACGCACACACACGATCTTGTCAATATTTGCTAGTCACTTGCTTGTTTGCCTTATTGCAAAACAGCGGAGCAGCGCACTTGTTTAGGAGTCGTTGACGCTGACATCGTTGACACGCACCGCTGCTCGAGACCCCTGGGCACAAATCGTACCCCTATATATAGATATACCACATATATATATATATATATATCTATATGTCAATATTGACTTTGAGACTAGGTGAGATATTACTCATACGCCTGGCTGGCGCGCCTTTGCATTAGATATTGCAGCTAATTAGTGAACTCTGCTGTGTAAACAGTCGGGACAGTAGTTGGAAAGTAGTTCACACCTGCCCTAATCGCCAGCCGTGTGGACTTACGTGGAAATCAAGGCCATTTGCATAAATGGCCACTGAAAATAAGTCTGACAGAGGCAGAAACTGAGGCAGAGACCGAGGCAGAGTCACTGCAACTGCAACTGCAACAGCAACAGCAGCCAGTGCCTGTCTCTGTTGTCTCTCTGTCTCCGTCTCTGTCTCTGGCTGGGTTGGGGCTGGCCTGTGTCTGACAACGATCCCAATCGCGCACAGCTTGCCTGGCCACTGCCTTGTATTGAGTTGTTATGGCCAACGCCTTTGTTTGCCCTGCTTTGTCGTTGTCAGCGTCGTGTGCGGCTGCCGCTGCTGCTGCCGCTGCTGCTGCCGCTGCTGCTGCTGGAAGAAGCCGGTTGGGCCTAAATAAACAACAGGCCCAGACACTGGAACTGAAAGTGGATGCACAGTGATACCAAAACAGACTAAAAATGGTGTGTTTGTTGCTAAATCACAAAGTCACCAAACGAATTGAGGCAATTATAGAAAGAAAATATATGGATAAAGTTATGGAATATTTACAGAAATACATCAGATCTATAAAGAAAACTTAAAGGTGTGAATAAACATTTCAAAATAAAATATACTCACATATTGCATACATATTTAAAAAAAAAAATTAATTAAATTTTTAAAAATATGTATATATATCTACTTAAGTACTTAATAAAAATCAGATTGAATGTAAATTTAACTTACAATAATTATAAACAATATTTTAATATTTTTTAAAAACCTCTTTTTATTTATAAAACAAACATTTAGTTGTTTATTCATCACATAAAAAAAATTAAATTCTTATCGTGCAGCAGCTCAAATACATTTGTATGCAATTCTCGTTAGGCCAACTGAACGAATTTTTTTTTTTTTTTATATCAGAAGGAGGATCCGGCTTTGATGCCCAAGTATTATAATTCGTTTTGTTATTGTTTCTGAATCACTTTTGCATGTCGCATTGCGGAAAGTCCCAACAAATTTAACAAAAATTCAACATAACAATCTAAGTAAATAAATACAATAAATAAATAA